ATACTCATTAATCTCTCGATTATTACTTGCAAAGAGGTCATTTGCCATAACAATGGTAGGTTTCATCCATGAGAGCAAACCCTTAGATCAGTAATGGTGAATACTGACACTGAAAGGTTCCTCATCACTGCAGAAGGTGTCACCAGTGTTATTCGCAGGTCCTGTATTAATGACTGCAACAGCTTTGAGCTAGGCAGGGACAGAGGAGTCACAGTGATGTGGTTTTGAGACTGATAGCTTGGAACTGCAGATGCTAGTTGGAAATGTCTTTTTTTTGAGTAATAGGAAATTTCTGCTTTTGCTGCTTGTTTTTACAGTTCCTGAAGCACCCTTGTAACCAGCATGGCATAGTTCTTACAGGCAATGTACATCTACACAGCTTCAGCCTGGGTAGCTGCTGCATGCCTGATTCATGCTGCTGGCAGTTTCAGTTCAGGAGACTCTAGCCAAGGCTGCTCATCCCCTCCTGGTTTGGTAGACAAGAAGAAAATGGACAGATCTACCCAGCAGGGAGTTGTTGGCTTGGGTTTGTTCACTTGTTTAAGTAGCAGGGGCCTTAACTCAGAGAGTTCAGTGGGGTCATTCTCAGCTTGCTGGCGTAGCCTGGGTGCCTGCACAGGGCTGTGCGGTCACTCTGTGCTCATGGGTCTCGGTGTCAGTCCCTCTCCTCCCAGCCTGCCCGGCCTCCCCCGTCCCCCGTGCATCCCTGCCCAGCATCTCCCTGTCTCTGGTCTCGGCTGCACGGCTCTCCTGGTCTTTCCCTCAGGGCCATGTCTGCCAGCCTCGCTGCCAGCTCACCCAGCTCTCCCATGTATGCCCACGCTCCGTCATGCTGGCTTTTCCCGTTTCTCTTCTGAGATGCTTTGTGTCCAGCCAGAGTCCTGGTTTTCCTTGCTTGCCGTGCAACAGGCATAATATTATAATAATAAACATATTAGCAAAAATGTCTTTACTGCAAGAGTGGAACAGGCTGCCCAGGGAGGTGGTTGAGTCACCATCCCTGGAGGTGTTCAAAAAACGTGTAGACGTGGCACTTCGGGACATGGTTTATCAGGCATGGTGGTGCTGGGTTGACAGTTGGACTTGATGATCTTTGAGGTCTTTTCCAACCTAAATAATTCAATGATTCTATTCTATGATTGTGTTCCAAGAGACACATGGGGGTGTCACCACGGCTCCGGCTGTGGAAGGGGAGAGCTCCAGTTCGCCTCCCTGGCTCCCCGCATCCATCCCCTGCTTTGCTGCAGCTCTGGGTGCTCATTGGACCTTTCCTGTGAGCCAGCTTAATGAGTTTAAATGACATAAAATTGTGCCAGCAAAATAGTTTTCTTCAAGGAAAAGGACTGACATGGGCTTGTGGAAGAAGGGCCGAGCAGCTGCAAGAGCTTTGGCAGACGTAGATAGGTAGGTAGGTAGGTAGGTGATAACGTAAGGCCAGGCAGTTAGTTGCAAGGTATATGGAAGCAAAATCTTTATAATGAGGAGTTCTAATAGTGGATAATGCAGTTGTCCCCAACTATAACAACTGCAAGAGCTTACAAGCAGCATTTTATTTATTTTTACATTTCAAACCTTTTTTCCATTCTACTGAAAGATGACCAGACATTTTTGTTTGATCCTAATAGGTTGTGTAAAGTGGGATTTGAAAACTTACATATGCAGTCCATTGGGAGAAAAAACAGTTGGACACTGAGTGTGTTATGTACCTTTTCATGGCAATGCACTGGTTTTAATTGTTGGGGGGAATCAGATTTATGTATTGGAGGTATGAGAAAGAAGAAATGAATTAGTAAGTTGGGATTTATTACATAATATCCTGACACAATCTACATATATATTGTGTCAGGAAAAGGCATAACAATTCCTGACTAGAAAAGATAATCAGGAATTTTTTTAAAGAAAAGGTATCCAGTCACAAACTTTTATGGGGTAACTTGTACATGTTGCTTTCTCTCCTCATTAGTACCTCTGAAATAGCTTACCTGCAACTGTAGTCTGCTCTTGGACAAGGTGCAGTGGACTCGTAACACTCCCCTTGTTTTTCATAGCCTTAGACATGGACGCAGAAGCAGTAACCTGTCATCAGCGGGAGGGAGGGAGGGAGGTGGCTGTGCCTGGCCCTGGGAGGAGGCAAAGTGTCGGGAGGTCTCGGTGCGGAGATGATCAGGGGGCTGTTATCCACTCCTCAGTCACTTGTTGCCAGGGAGACAAATGTAATCCAGGGATTTTTTTTTTTTTTCCCTTCCTTGCTGGTTTTTGATTGGAGCCACTATTGACTTTTGGCTTGGAGGAGGTAGTGAAGCAGCACGCCAAGTGTCAGGAGATGGAAATTAATCACTAACCGATGGGTCTGAGTTCCAGTGATTTCCTTTCTTGTGATTGCTCTGTATATAGGAAGACTAATGACACATCTAAACAGACAGTTAACGAAGCTCTTCACACCTCCAACAGTCAAGGAGGATTCTTAACCGGATGACACTTCAGTTTTCTTTTAATTTCTGCTCTCTTGTGTGGCTGTAGAAAAACAAAAGTAGCTATCTTAAAAAAGGAACTTTGCATGGTTGGAGAGCTTTGTCTTAAATTGTACTTGGTTTTGTTGCTAAATTAGAAGTCAGCTCAATTGCAGTGAAAATAGAGCAAATCTGCCTTCCCTGTGTTTCTTTTAACAAGGAGTATAATTCTTGTCAGTACTTTTTGTGTGAGAGAGTTGCTGTTTTTCTGGTTTTGATTATTTTGGGCTTTTGCAATAACATGGCCAAGCCAAACAATTCAGCTTAACAGTAATGAAAGGTTTTGAAGTTACTCTTCAGTAGTGACTTCATCTTGTAAGGCCCTCAACTTGAACTAACTCTGATGGATTTGGGGGAGTAATCTCTTCCAGGTAGATGAAAAGCCTGTCTTGGAAGTAAGTGAAAAAACAGAGAAATTTGGAAACAATATGTTGTGTTCCAGCAAGTACAAATAAGGTAGATGCTATTTAAGTGTAGCTTTTTTTGACGTTTATCCCATGCTGTAAGAAGTAAGGAATCCAGCAAAGGTTTTCTTCTGAAAAACATCCCTGGTTTTGCACGTTGCCTGCTTAAAAGGAAATTTACGTTCTTCTTGCTCTGGGATGGAGCATGGAAGTGGAATTTGGGAGGTTTGGATTCTATTTTTGACTCTGTCCTTTGCCTAAAAAGTCACTTACTAGGCTTATCATGTCAAGTCTCTGACTTATTGTCCCATATTTAAAGGAGGGCTAAACATAACAGCCTCCTTTCTGCACACTGGTTGGAGGCGTGTGGTACACAGCTTCCACCACTGACACCAGCAGTGGATCTTTCAGTCTTCTGCTGTAGTGCTTTACCGAGACGAAAGCCCAAGAGTGTTGTTCGCTTGCTCACTCTCTCACTGCTTGAATCTTGGGCTTTTTGGCTGTGCAAGGGCCACGCTTCACCTGCGGAGCTGGAGGGTGTCTCCCCTGAGATTGTTCAGTGGCCTTCTGGTAGGGCCCTTGGGAAGCACGGGGAGAGATGGACCTGGACCCCACCGTTCTGAAGAGGCTTGAGCTGGTTCCACCAGAGCAGCATGCAAGAAGGTGGTTTCTTCTTCATCCCCTCCAGCAGAAGTGCTTGTTTCCCAAAGAAAGCAGTCGTGGCTCATGAGGGTTGTGCCAGCCCCTCTCCTTTTCTTTCAAGCCAAGTCTCGGTGATGCTGTGAACTTTATAGGTGCTCCCACGCAACCATCCAGTGATGTTGGGGAAGATTTTTCTTTTTAAGTTTCTGTTTTTTGGGGGGGAAGAATTTAGTGCAGGTTTGCTGTCTGGAAGCTCGGAAGGAGGTCTGTAAGCACTTTGCCTGTTGCATTGTGTATTCTAAAGCCGTCCGTGAGGCAGAGGAGCCTTGCTCTGCTGATAGACGTTGGCGTTGAGAAGGGATGGCCCTGGATTGAAAAGCCGCTAGAGGTGGTACCACAGCCTCCCCCGCCCGTTCCAGAAGATGTCAACATTTACCAAAAGTGTTATCATAATGCCTTGAAAGCCTGCCAGTGACATTCAGTCAATGATTAGGAATGGTGTTTGTTTTCACATGTGCTTGAGCAGACCAAGGCTGCTCCCGAGCTGTCATGTTGTATGCTTTCATGGTGGAGCTGAGGGAAAGTTGTTTTTCTGTTGGTTTGAGAACTCATGCAGAACAATTCAAAATATCTGCACCCTGACCTCCAGTGGGATTGAGACAAGGCCTGAAATTGCACTGCTCATGACTGCAGAATAAATACTGAATTTTAGCGTAGTCCTCGCATTACAGATTGACTACTGGAGTTGCTCTGTGTATCCAGAAGGGTAATTACAGTAACTATTGTTTTAACCGATCACAATTTCACAACATCCTTAAATGGTTTAAACTCTGATTATACTGTCGGCTTTTTTTTTCATTGTTTTGGGTTTTTTAGTATTTTTTTTCCCCTTAGAGGAGAAAAGATGATTAATTTCCTCTTGTAGTATAATAGCACTGATGTCATGTGGGTTGAAGGATTAAGTCCTTTTATTTTTAAAACAGTTGCTAGGGTGTTTAAACCCCTCCTTTTTAGCCCTGTTTCTTGTTAATACAACAGCAAAAGGAAAAGAAAATCGCTTTCAAAAAGAACCTACTTTTCTTCAAAGTTTCTGTTTAACTGTAACTGTAGCTTCTTATTTTTCCAGTATGGGGTGATGGGGAAATTGCCTGATATTATTAAATCAGATTAACTAGTAACGGGGGGAGGGGAGGAGAAAGCAACCAAACATTAATTCTTTCGTTCCACACCCCCCCCCCGCCCCCCCCCCCCCGAAGTGTAATTTAAATCGTACAGTCGCAATACTTGATTAATGGAGCAATAATCTCTGGCAAGCAAACTGTGTTCACCTCTGTCAGACAAAAACCCCAAACCCACTGCTTTTCCTGACAAATACTGCTAAATAAATAAGGCTATGCCATTAGATCAAATATTTGATTTTTTTTTAATTCTTTTTTCTTTGCAGAGTATTGGAAAGGGGTCCTTGTGGTGTATAGACCCAGAATATAGACAAAATCTTATTCAGGCTTTGAAAAAGACACCCTATCACCCATATTCGCATGTGTTCAGTACACCTCCCACATCTCCTCAGGCATATCAAAGGTAAGCACTAGATGCATTTTACAACTCTAAATGTTTCCATCCAGTGTTGCGTATGAATCCTGGGTAAGATGTTGAATGCAGTTAAGAGATGCGGTTTGGAAACGCTCTGTCGAAGAGTGACCGTGAGTGCTGGCGGCAGCCTGGCCTCGCTGGGCGTGCGTCTGGGGCTCCTCACCGGCCCCCGGCCCCCTGCCTGTGGCCCTGCTCCCGCGTCACCCGCGGAGCCTTGTGGCGAAAGGGCCCCTGAAAACAAAACGCGGACGG